CTTATATAGCTACTTCAAAATAATTTGATCTACCTTCAATTAGTGTTTGAAAATTATTGTTTTGGTTTTTTTCCACGCTTAAATAATATTATTTTGGAATAAAGAAATAAAATATGTGCTTTTAGGCTATTGCTATTGAAGTAAAACATGATGATAAACTTGATGAACAAGATGGAGTTATGATACAAACAGCTATGTTGTACACATCATGTAGTGGACAGAGACGTGTACGTATTTTAAATCTATCTTTACGCTCAAGTGGACAGATGGGTGAATTATATCGTAGTTATGATTTAGATACAATAATGAATTTCTTTGGCAAACAAGGTTAGTTATAAACTTAATGTAATTTATTATTATGTAATATCATGTAATTTTATTCTAATTTTAAATAGTTATGTATAAAATTTTGGAAAGTTCTGGACGACAAGTTAAAGAAGCAATTACTAATAAGACTGCTCAAATATTAGCAACCTATAGAAAGCATTGTGCATCACCATCTTCGGCGGGTCAACTTATTTTACCTGAATGCATGAAACTCATGCCCCTTTATATTAATTGCTTGATTAAAAGTGATGCTATGTCTGGTGGTACGTAATTTTTTTTTATTATTGAAAAAAAACAACAACTAATTTTATTTATTTAGGTCCTGATATGACAGTAGATGATCGTTGGTACAACATGCATCTAGTTATCACTGCAGATATACCAACAACCTTGGGTTATTTCTATCCACGTCTGATTCCCATTCATACCCTTTCTGATGAAACATCCTTAAATGATGTCTTAATTCCTGATCAATTGAGGTGTTCAATAGAGAAATTTTCTGATGACGGAGCATATATTTTAGGTTAGAGTTTTCATTTTTTAAAAAATTACAAAAATACAATTGTGTGTAACTTTATTTTTATATTTAGAAAATGGAGTGTATATGTTTTTATGGATTGGTATGGGTCTGAGTCAAACATTTTTATCAAATGTATTTGGGGTTCAAAATATCATGCATGTTGATACTGAACGTTCTGCTATTCCTGTGATAGATAAACCACTCAACAAAGCAGTTCGTCAGGTGTTGTCTAAAATTCAAGAAGAACGAAGCCACACAATGAGAGTATGTAAAATTTTATACAGATATTTTATTGTGTATTAATTATATTTTGTTTTTAGCTTTCAATTATACGGCAAAAGGATAAAATTGAAACTGTTATGAGACATTTCTTAGTTGAAGACCATGGTATTGACAATAGTCCATCGTATGTAGAATTTTTATGTCACATGCATAAAGAAATTCGTAATTTGCTCAGTTAGCATATACAAAAATGGTAAACATTTTATTTTCTATACTATTGTACTACTTAGTGTGATTACTTTATAATAACCTATCGAATGTAACTAATTTAAGGTATAATAAATTGTTAATATATTCAATTATTATTCGTTGATTTAATTATTTGCATTGCTTTTTATATTAATTTAAACATAGTTTATTTTTATAAATAAATAATTGTATAATGATATATAATTTTTATTTCTTTAAGTTATTAAAACAAGAGTATACTGTACCATAAAAATTCTTGGTGTAATTGCATATAAATTTTTACTTCAGCACGTAATTGTCACGGAACAATTTTTTTACTTCAAACTTTTTATTTTCATAATTATTGTTTTAAATGAACATTTATTTTAAGACCTTCTCACACGCTAGAATTGTATTACCAGAACTCTAGGGACAGAGTTGCCAATGATAACCAGAAGCATGTGGGACAGAGTTACTCCCAGAGTGACATTTTACATTCTGTTGGCTTTAGTGTTAAAGTATTTTATCTCTTGTGTAAAATTCTCAAAATTTCATCTGGTTTATCTGGCTACTATTGCTATCAAACTGATGGTCAGTTTACTATATTTATAACTCTAAAACAGCTTTTCTCATAATTTTTCATTCACGTATCCCTTAACCTATTACTATTGCCTTACATATCATACTCCCAACTGTCAATTTATCTATTTTTACATAGAATTAATAAGAAATTATAAAATTTGTTGTAATAGAAAATAAATAATTATGAACTATTTATTTATTTTAATCATTAAATGCTATCTAATGTGTATAAAAAGAATAATATAAATATTACAATTTCATTTTAATATGATCATTTGGGTTATTTAATAACACTTAATTTTTTAAATATGGTTCCACAGATGATAAGTTAACGTGTAAGTTTAAACTCACTATAAGTTACTACATTACTTATTTTTAATGAATTTGTATGATAAATAAGCCCTTTTCACAAACACAGTACTCATTATCAATTATTTCATAAATAATTTATTAATTTATATATATCAATTTTTAAATTTTCAATGAATACCTTTGTTTTTTCGAGTACCCTCTAGTATCTTTTTATGTACCCTAGTTAAGAAACACTGTTCTAGAACATATTCATAGTTTCACACTACATAAATTATAACTTATAGTTTGATACTACAAAATTAATGTATCTACTACCTTGTGTCATAGTCAGTATTTTTTGGTACATATTTTTTTTACATTGCAGGTTTAGCACTTTAATTCTGAATTAATTTTTTCATAAAATTCACTTTGCCTTTTTTTTAAAAAAAAAATGTCTTATCTATTCTGCTTAATTATTTTTATTTTGTTTTTTATCTTATAATAAACAACAATTTCATGTGCTGTTCAAATTTTAATGGATATGGTACTTATTAATCCATGAGACTATTTTAATTAAATATTAATAGAAAAAATTGTATAGTCATTCAGTATTCATTATCACTTATTGTCTATTACAACTCTAGACAGATAAATGAAATAATTGCCAGAATTAAACACATTACAGAGTTCTAGACAGAGTACATTACCAATGTTCTTTGACAACGCAATTATTAGAGAGAAAAGTGACAGATATTTGTTTATATGTTAAGTCCATGACAGAGCTCTACCTCCATCAAAGTTTTGGCTAAAAAACTTTATTTAGTGCGAATACCTTAAAGGCCTAAATATTTTATTATATTCAAAAGCATAACTCGGTTTATTGTAATGTTTAGTTTACAATAAAATAATACCAATATTTGTTTATATATGTATGTCGTAGGCCATATGGAAAATTAGTTTTTTTGCAAAAAGATTAGGCTCTGCAATGGGGTAGCCTATTTGCGAACTACTTACTATTTTTTCAAACAGCCTGCTGTTTTTTAGGCTCATTGCATACATACTAATTTTAGTTAGGCCTTTTAAGAACTACAATCATTTTATGGTAAAAACCATTTTAATTATTTTATTTTAAGGGTTATTGATAATAACACAGTACAAATATGTAACATGAATGTATAACATGTAACATTATTATTTATTACTTATTACTTATTAATTTTGTACAGTTGTCGACCATTGAATTACTAGTTTTATTATATATTACTAACAAAAAAAAAAAAAAAAAATGTAAGATACCATTTAATTAAATTAAATTAAATTAAATTGAAATATTACAAAAAATATTACATTACAATATTAAATATTATATAAAGTATAGTATATTTTTTTAGTATATTTTATTTCATAAAATGATTGTAGTTCTTAAAAGGCCTAACTGGAATTAGTATGTATGCAATGAGCCTAAAAAACAGCAGGCTGTTTGAAAAAATAGTGAGTAATTCTTAAAAGGCCTAACAGCTGTTAGTCTGTATGCAATGAGCCTGAAAAACAGCAGGCTGTTTGGAAAAATAATAAGTAGTTCGCAAATGGGCTTCCCAATTTCAAAGAGCCTAGTCTTTTTGCAAAAAAACTAATTTTCCATATGGCCTATGACATGTATAATATATTAATTTTAAACTCGTTACATAACTAATATTAATATATTTTTGCATATTATAGACTATAGAATTAAAGACGGCATACAATATAATTTGGAAGCAAGAATAGATATAATAAACTAGATAATACTTATTATTAATGATTAATTGAAACATGATTTTATTCAATTCATAAACAAATTATAGTATTAATAATATTTCATCTATTACTCATTATAAATTATAAGACCAAATAAAATATTATCTCGAATATATAATTTTTTCTGATTTCTTATTTGTTAATGGTCATTAATAATTTTTACATTAAAAAAAGGTCAATAAAAACAAAATTACGTAATTTTGATAAAGTAAAATTGTACATTCTTGATTTTTTTATTTTTTTATTAAAATGTGTATATAAATATATAATAACAATATTGATCTCTATTATTGTGGATAAGGTATATTTGTTTTTTTTTATGAAAAATAAATAAAATTCAATAATTATTCTAGTTTATATTTTTTAAAACGAATTAATTTGTTGAGCAGATTTATTCATTTACAAAATAAAGTGTAATTAAATTTTACAAATTTTAAATTTAATTTTGTTATTTAGAATTTTATATTTTTAATATAAGCATTTAAAAGTTATGATTTTTTTAATTTGTGTCTATTATGTGTTTTTGGAAGTGATTAAACTAAGCAGATATTATGCAATTTTTGTACAAGTTATTTTAATTTAATAACTCTGAAATTAATGTTAATTTTACTTTGATTTTAATTTTTATCTTCATTTTTAGATTGAAAGTATAATAAATTTTATTTAATAGTTTTTGTTGAATAATAGTAGGTGATTAAAAATCATAGTCTTTTATTAAATTTATTTGTGTTCTGTTTTTATTTTTAGGTAATTGATCGGGGTTCGATGTGGAATAAACACCAATGCAATTACTTACTGCACAATAAATTGTTATGTTACATTTATTATTTATACGTTTATATGTACACAGTTATAGAAATATCTGTTGTTATTTATTATATTATATTTTTGAATTTTAAAATGATTTTATGTGACATTCCGCCGTTTCCATGGTGCTATGTCGAAATAGTGCATCAGCTGTGTAATATAATATAATATATATGTGAAATGTATAATATTTTCATTATTAGTTAATCGATTTATACCTAAATTATAATAATTATTATACTCTATTATTATATTATCAAATGTTTGAAGTTCTAATTTTAAAATTTATTCCTGCGATAAAACAAAGCATTGTTTAGGCGAGCCGCAGTCGAATCTTGTAGCTTGATCTTGTTCGCCCAACGTTTGCGATCATCCGAACTAGAATGCTTGCCTACTGTCATGAACAACTCGTGGCCGTACATCAGCGGATCCTTATGAGCGGTGCGCTTCTTGGCGATGATTTCGCCAACCTTGGCACGTTTGTGTTTAAAGTAGATCACTTCAAATGCCAGCGTAATCAACGCTATTAGCAATCCGACTAGAGTGGCTATGAATACACCGCCTGTAAACATTTTTAAAATCCATTTAAACGTAATTTATTCGGTACTGTCTGCACGTCGGTAGTCGGACACGACATCGAACGAATTAAAATATTGAGAATAAATCTCGGGACATGGGAATCGTGTACCTAATATCATGTATGTATGTATGTTATACCTATGTATCACCTATTCGTGATCCATCGGATTGGTGCGTTAAACGTACGATTTATTGCGATTCGGTTTGATCGTAGAAGTGACATTATGTGTTCGATTAATGCGGTAAAGCGTTTGGTGTAATTTCGTGGATTCGAATTTGTAGCAACAATCAGAATACCGATCGGATTACATTTTGCGTCGCTATTACAGTTCAATTAATTATTAAACCGATCGCATCAGTAATACAGTTATGGGGTTAAAGCGAATATATGTAATAAAACAATAAATTACAAAAAAAAACCACCGGCTGAAAAATACACTCAAGACAGCGTTTACGGGACTACCTACATAACATTATGTCATTAAAAACATTACGGTTCTTGACTGGAAACCATTAGCGCAGAGATGCGAAATGGAATTTTTTCACGCTTATTATAGGGCTTTTGGAAGCCAGAGGTCATTATGGCTTTGCAGAGTTTATGAGTAATAGTAGTAGTATTATAGGGTTGCATTGTGTGGTGTATTGTTTGTCAATCAAGTGGCTATTTATTGTTATTAATTTTTTTTCTCAAACACTACTTTGGTTATTTAGGGATATTAAAATATTATTGATTACATATTTTTTTTATGCCGAAAGATGCTGTTAATGATTTTTGTTATATTTTTTTTGTCATCCAGTCACTGAGTAAGAACGCTTAGCGCGTAGGATATTAGCATGCATTTTACCGCGACGTAGAGATTCCTACGAGTTTTTTTTAATTAAAATAAAGTAAGCGATTGCTATGTATATATATTTAACAGGTGTAGGGATGGATTTAGGCCAGGGTAGTCCAACCAGGCCGCGGGTTGGGCCACCCCAATTTAGGCATACATGGGCATGTGGTGGCCTCAAATTAATAAAAAAGAACTGTATATTTTTTGCTCATTAAAATATTAAATAACGTTTCTTATTAAATATAAGTTAAATACATTTTTCTGTGTTGAATAATTTCAAAACTGATTGGGGGTCCTATAGCTGCAGCCCCCCCCCTCAAAACTAAATTCTATTTTGAATTCAGACTTATAATTTATAATTTATTGTTATCCAAAACAATGTACAATAGATCCTCAGCATTCGTCCCCCGAGTGGCTCAAGCGGTTCTCTGTACAACTTGATCTAACCAATCTTACCTAAACTTTCCAAAGTGATGCCTTCGCTGTCATCCGCGTTCGGGCACATGCTCATTTTGGAAGCATTCCAGTACTTGGCGTTCAACAGTTCGAAAAATCGATCTTTTTGCAAATCCAATATCCTAACGAGAAATGCTCTGAATTGCTAAAGCCAACGTTGTTGCTAACTATACATGTTAATAATTTTACTTTCTGCTGATCTCCTCTTGTATGAGGCTTCCCTGTTGGACGGCAATCGAGTACGGTCTTTCACCAAACGTTTCGCCCACCTCGGTCAAATTGCAATTGTTGTATACCTCGTACTTGATGTCCGACGAATCGTGGATCAGAGCAAACTCGCCTTGCTCGTTGTCCAACACCTGAAACAGCATAAAATGTACAAATACATCGGTAATATGGACGTCTGTGTAATAGGTATTATTCCACTAGTGGTGTATCCTGAGAAGGCCGGTACTCTTACCCTCTCCCAGCACCCCTTCAGAAATTTTAGGAGATCTTAAATTATTAAAACTGAATCTTGAACAGTGGAAAACACACAGATGAAACATGCTGTTTCCACTGTGAAACTTGATCACAGAACGTGATTTATTGTTTCAAATATACTTTTTTTTTTTTTAATACTCGTGTATTATGGTTTTTTCGATGGGCGATTTGTAACTGATCACTCCTCCCCCCACTCGTGTATTCCAGGACACCCCACTACTAGTCTGTCGTTGCAAATCATACCATTTGATATCCGATCGTTCTGTTCGGTACGGTTCCGGTTCTTTCGATGGCCGCTAGTATTTGTCCGAATTCTTCTTTAATGGGATAATCCCAAACTCTAAAGTCTCTCCGATTGTTTGTCTGGTTCAACGCTATCTCTTTCCAAACGCTATACATATATAGGTTCATTATATCTAATAAACTAAGATGACAGATTTTTTATTTTTAATATTTTAATTAATAATTAATATTTTGAATATATAATTTGAGTACGTTTTATTTTACTTTTCACTTAACTTAAGTCACAATTCAGAGATGAAAATATAACGCATATTTTTCATATCGAGTTTTTCTAAGTCATTTTTAACATTTTATTTATAACGACTAATTTTCACTGGTCCTTTGAATGTCACCATTAACGGATTTTATTCGTATATAAACCGCGCGTTCTGTAACTAAATGTATCGCCGTCAACTAACTTTACTAGGAATGGAAAAATCAAAGTAACTAGAAGGCCAATTATTAGAACATTAAAATCTGGCGGGCCATAGTAAAGAAAGCAAAAATGAAAAAAAAAGGCATTCAAATTGATAGTTAGCATTTATTCTCATTAATTAAATTTCACTACTGAACTAATACAATAAAATAAGTGCCTAATACCTATAGCTAAGTTAACTATGCTGATATGGATATTATATTTAGACATTTAATGATTTAGTTGTTTTGAGTTCAATACTATAGAAAAATATAATATCTGCATTTTACGATTAACGTGATAAAATTAAATACTGATAAATGCTAAAATGTTATGAAGTAATTTGAAAACGTAGCACTGGCCCGATAAAAAAAGTACGCGGGCTGCTAATTGCCCATTTCTGATCTGTACTATTTACTTATACATATATTTAGCGGCAGCACGTAACGGTAGATTTTTGACTACCTACATATTGATTTTCTCGATTATACTGTTATGGTGTAGGTACCATTACTACTATACCCCTATGTGACGTATTTAAAATTTTTCTTAGTGGTAGTAATTAATTAACTATATAAACTAGTTACTCGAGCAACAAAATTGATATATTTTCAGTTAAAACGTAGTTCGATTAAGATAAATAAAATCACTGTAAAATATTTAATTCTGTCATTCTAAATATCTGGTGAATCACCAGGAACAAAATTGATGTCATGTATAATATAAAAATGCTTATGGAAAAGAAAAAACAAAGCTCAAGGGAGTGATCTATGCTACGTAAACGTCCTTCTCTTCGGTAGAGACACTACTGCAACCAAAATACGAGCGACATTTCCGGTTATTTTCTTGGGCGTGCAACCAAATTGTATTCAAAAATTCTAAAAGAGACTCTATTTCGGAGTATTTAAAGAACAAAAAATATGTAAATCGTTTCCTTGTGTTTTCGTAATATTTAATAAAATAGGTCGTACTAAATATACGAGTATATACTGTGTTATAATTTTTTCATTCACCTTGAAAATGCACTGCTAACAGAGTAAATATATATATATATATATATACATATACTTTTATGTTGACGCGCTGAGTTATTTTCGGTCTACCGATTTAGGACGTTTTTTGAATCGATGGTGGTGGTCCCCAACGTACATATTATATATGACTCTGTCACCACGCGACACCCCTGCAGTACTGTACTAAAAATAACTATCTAGGTAGACTAAACCAATATCTCGTGTAGTACGAGTAAAATGTTTTGGAAAATATTTTAGAAAACATTTTTGCGAAGAAGTAAGTTTCATAATATAATATCAAATGTATTTTCGTCGAAGTTCGGGGGTGCATTTTGCTATTCGCTTAGTCCGTCACGTGCAATCAACAAAAATCAAGGAGCGTAAGAGTAATCCGATTTTTACTCTCGGGAGTTGTCTTTTGTTTTTGTTTTACTTTACAACACATACGAGCCCGAGAGAAATCGTTCGACTGCGCTTCGATATAGTATGATCGAGGTCAAAGGTTATTGTTTTATATTTTTCTTACATTGAAATGCATCTGAAGACTAGCTGTAGTGTACTCAGGGGGAAATATTAGAAGATATATGTTCAATTTATATATTTTTTTTAAAACTCATCAATATTAAGACTGATTCATATAAATCTTATAACTTAAAAAAAAAAAAAATATTCACTGCTGTATACATTTATGATGAGCGATTTGGAGTACCTGACCCTTAATGTCTCCCTATTGTTTTTTTGGCTTCATACCTGCAATCGATTTAGATATACAATTATATTTATAACATTCCCTCACCCTATTGAAAATTCTATGGCAGGCCATTGACTACAGGTTCAAGGTTATGTGCATGCAAATAAATGAACAATCACCCTCAAGTTACATCGATATTACGATAATACGCAAGTCAGCTATACCGATAATTGACGCTTAATGTTGTCCGGGTGATAATTATTAATATCATCTAGACCTCGTCGAACGGTTTGGACAACTCGAGGGTTATTTCGAAAGCTCTCACAAATAGCCGTCATAAATTTACGAACGTGGAAAATTACGCGCATCGAAATTCAAATTCAATAACATCGGAAAACCGTTATCCAATTGGATTGATTACGATCAATTTATAATTTAACGGAACAGGTTAGGCAATTAATTGATATACACAGCAGTTAGTGTACAAACCGAATACGTAACAATGAAAAAAATGTAAAAGCGTCTGAAACACGTTTGAAAATACGCAATAATAGCTATTGTCATTGATATTTTTTCTTTTGTCGCGAGTGCTCGGTGTCACACTCCTATAGATATAATTTGTTATCGCGTCGTTCATAGGCAATATCCTCAACGCATTAAACCACAGAATAGATTCTGTGATTAAACTATGAACCACAACGAAAAGAAGAGCAACAATGGTTACCAGTAACCATTAATTGTATACGTTGATTACGTTCTTATTCCATGCGCGTTGCAATAATCTTGTAATTGATATACCATAATGTGCAGATTCATGTTTAAAACATGTTAAAATCCACGTTCGAATTTGTAAACTCTTTAAATCCGAAACAATAACTTGGGTGTAAAACTAAATGTTATGACGTTTGGTGGTTGTGAGATGGAATGATTAACACAACCCCCGCGCAGTTCACTAAATGAATATACAAATCGGCAATACTTGCTTGTACAGAATATCTTCGGCCAGTTTCATGTTTTGAAAGAATTCATGCGTATTGCTACCCTTGACCACGGTATAATTGATCCTGGATTGCCGAGCCAATTGTTGTAAGGACTGCACCGGAGTCTGTATTGGACAATTTATAACATTTAATATTCACACACACACACACACACACACACACACACACACACACACACACACAAAGTAAGTATTAAAATAATGTTTTTTATTAATGTATTATAATAGAATAATCGTTTTTATAATAAGTTTACACGTTGAGGTAAAGAAAAAATTCGTTTAATATTTGACCAAATGAATATTACGATGTATATTAAACGAGACTTGTTCAATGTGGCGATCTTCACCCATCTTTGATCTTAAAAATGTTTTGAAACGACGTAATGTAGAAATCGATCGCTTCTTATTTATCGAAGTTACTGGTAATATAGCCATTACATGTAATACTCGACATACATTTGGAAATGCATTTACCTAACAAATATCGAGAGCGTCATGTGCATTTTGGGCATTTTGTCCTATAAAGTCGTTTCCTCAAAATGTTGACCTCACTAATCCAAATATCAGGTGAATTATCAAGCAAAATTTAAACGTATGCTTCAAATATTTGTATACAAGATCTAAGGTTTCACATCTAAGGTTTTTGATTGGTTAGAGTAAAGACTAGAGAAGTTGGATAAAATATTACGGTGTTTCAGAAAACGATTTTCAAACGATTTTCAGCACTCATAGCTTTGGCACCATCGTAACCTTGTCCAAAAAAAATATGTGCAGTCATTGCTTGAACTTAGAATTAAATTTGTCAAACCTTTCCTAATTGCATCAATAATAGGAAAAAAAACTCAAAAAATCTTCGCAAATTTTTGATTTATCGTTTTTTATATCTAAGTACTGAACGCAAATTGCTGTTTTTTCAATGTCTTCAAAATCTGAAATTTCATCTACCGTTAGTGAAAAACCTTTAGATATATTAATCTGTTCAATAATTTGTTTTTTTTTATTAAATTATGCATAATTACGATACATTCTTTCTGGATTCAATTATTTATGTACATGGCATTTTTCGCAAAGTTTTGCAAATAATATTTTAGCTGATTGTTAGTTTTGACTTGATATCTTAGAAAAGCATGGATATTTTCGTCATTATTTTGAGGTTCTTCAAAACGAATTCTACCTCTATAATTTGTACTACAAAGTGCTAAACCTTGTCGGTATCAAAATACTAAAGTTTCAACTATAGGAACTAAAAGTTTTTTGCTATCATTTATAAAATCTAATTTTTGTTTTAAAATTTGTAAATCAACAGATAGAATATTTGGTTTTTCAACTTAAGTCCTCAAATTTGATTTCATTAATAAAGTTTTGTGATTCTCTAAAATATTGTGATAGTTAAATAAGTCCAAGGTCTTTTCCAATTATTAAATGGTTTTGTAACTAGCTGACTCAAAGCAAAATTTTCAACTCCGCCTTCTCTAACAAAAAATAAAACACAATACTTACAAAACGCGTCATTTACATTTGCAGAATTTTCAAAATTGCACTAAATTAATGTTTGCCGATGATATAAAGATTTTCCATATAGTTAATAATCAAAGTGAAGCTGATTTACTTCAACTCGATTTAAATAATCTCTATGAGTGGTGTACTTACAATAATTTTACTATTAATATTAATAAATTCCAGTTAATGACATTTTCCAAAGCTTAAGCTCAATTGAGTAGTCTTTTTTTTTGATTATAATCTCAATGGTAAACCACTACCTTGGACCATCGGGCCCATTAAATACCTTGGTATTTATTTTCGGTGATACCCGATTGAGCACGATCATTATCGGCCGACCCAAACTCAAATTTGACTGTCATATTACGAACATAGATAACAAGTTAAATAAAATCCTTGGTTTTATCCGTTGTAACTGTGCTGATTTCGATGATTCATTAGCTTTTAAATCAGTATATTACTGTTTGGTTCGTTCTATCTGTGAATATAGCTCAATAATATGGTCTCCATACCAATCGGGTCATAAACATAAAATTGAAGAAATTCAACACAAGTTTTTACGTTTTCTCTCATTTAAATGTTCCATATTTAGAGAACTCCATTCTTTGTCCTCTCTATTTTTAACGTTTCTCAACATCGAAACACTTGAACAACGTCGTATGCGATTAGATTTATATTTTTCTTATAAACTCTTTACAGAACTTATTGACTGTCCTGAGTTTTTAAGTTGTTTCTCTTTCTATGCCCCATCTTGTAACTCTCGGTCAAAAAACATTTTTTATCTAACACAGAAGTAACTAATTACACGAGTAATACTCCCCATCTTAGAATTATGAAAACTATTAAAAAATTAAATATCGATATGTTCATATCACCAAACTTCAACTCATTCAAGTTATGTTGTAATTTATTACTTGTTAATTCATAGCTATAAGTATATTATATTATAATTTATATTGTACATCATTGTTTTTTTTGTTTCTTCTCTTTCTTATTCGCTTTTTGTTTAATACTATTAACGAACGATTGATATTATTATTAATATTTATGTAATTGGGCTTGGCCCGTATAAAATTTAAATAAATAAATAAATAATAAATAAATAAATAAATAAATAATTTGCCAATATGTATTTGAGCTAATAATTTATTTGAGAATTTAAGTTTCTTTTTTCGGAAACCGGAAATCTATAATTCTTTGAAGGAACCTAAATCAAATCTTGAAGTTCAGGTACCGTGTTAATACATTCATTAGCTGTTTTATTTACATACAATCTTATGTCAAACTGATAAATTGAAGGTGCCACAAACTCTGGTAGAGGATTAGTATCCATATCGATATTAATTTCTGTGTGAACCGACTTCTGAAAACTAAGTGCAAACTAATTAACCACAAGTATACAACTTCTAAATTAATTTAAAACAACTACTTCCATGATCATAAATAAAATATCCTTACAATATCTGATGATACGATTGATTGTTGGTCATTATAGTATAACTCGCTTAAGACGCTCTTTATTCTGATGATAAAATAGGTATAGTAATAAAATAAAACTGTACAACAATAAGAACACGTAAATAAGTAAAATTTTTATTTTTATTTCCACAAACCTACTAAAATTTATAATCTGCTAAACAAAAGAGCGTTTTATTCAATAAGATAGAGAAAAACCGAGCGTCTTAACAGGTGGTTTTTACATTGACTAGTATAGGAAATGTCTAGGGACCGACGGAAAATAGCGTTTTATGCGGGAAAACGTCTTAAGCGAGAGCGTCTTAAGCGAGTTTTACTGTATTTTCTTAAATAAATAACTGCCTACGAAGAAAACATTTAAATACAGTAAAACTCGCTTATTATGTTAGATGACAACACAATAAGTGCGAATAATGCTCAAAACGAAATTGAAACAATGATTGTAATACGCGGCGGCGGTTCGCGGGTGCTGATGCGGTGGCAGATGTGTAGCGAAACCACGACGACGGCGCTGTTGTTTTGTCGACATCGGGGATATGGCGAACAATCGGAAAAAAAATTGTACGGATAAGACAGACGCAACGTGTAACACAACGCTATCTCGTACATCGATGTACTTTTTTTCTTTCTCTTGACTAACATCAAACATCTCCGCAACCTTTAATAACGTCGAACAATTTTGTTTTTTTTTTTTTTTTTTGACAATAAAACCCATTCATAACGTGTTCTTTACACAAGTACAATAAGTTAATGTTTAAGAATATTTTTACATTACACGAATCCGTTTGGGAGGGGATACTACACATCGATTACGTCTCCGGGATTGGTGTGCATAATTTTTGACAGCGCTAATTTTCACCGAACACTCGCGTTGTGTTCGGTTTCGAAAAACACCGTCCGCGACGAAATTCGTGTCGGTCTGTACCTGCGTTTTACGGGCGTACGTTCGAACGCGGGCACACAATTTCACGGGCCGTCTGCCACAGTCTCGCCGTAGGAAAGGCGGTTTTTTCCCCTTGGCATACGTGTCCTGTGTACGTGTATATAACATTTATAAAACGACTTTGCGGATTGCGATTCGCGAGGGTCGCAGACTCCACCGCCAGCCGTGCGTGCGGTCCAATTCTATATTGGATTTTATCGGCGTGGCGTGTTTTTCCGCGGCGAACACGGCTGCAGCGAGTGGTCAGCGATGGTGACGAGGAGGAGGGAAGGGTGGTCGGCGGGGCGCGAGGTAGATATGAAATATTCGACGTGGGATGCAAAAACCACGCGCGTATTGTACGCACAAAACTTGGCTAATGCCAATAATCAATTTATCTTCTCCCAGGGAAATATATGCGGAAAAATCGCGTGGGATACATTCAAAACGGTTTCACACAATAACGTAAGCCCTATACGTATATTATTATTGTGTTACACCCGAGTGAAATAAGATTGTTTACACGTATACAGAATGTTCATCGGTCCTGTATCACATATCACGAGTACGTGTATCGTGAATAAGTATATCATATTTGATCGGCTTACTAAACTAATTAATTACAATTCAGTTTATTTAAACAAGCCATGCATGGGCGTAGCTTGAAATTTCATCAGTGGAGGGGGGCAACCACTAATTATCAAAACATGTTTAGTGTTGTTTTATTAAATGTATTTTTATATTTTTAATTGTTACCTTATTTTATGATCATTAATTATAACTCACGAGTTAAATACAAAAAAAAAAAAATCATGATGTATTAAAAATATTCATGTAGAATTGTGTTGTTTAAAAAAAAAATTTAAAACCTCTGCTATTTGGTTGGAAATAATCATTTGAATACTTAGAATATAATTAAAAAAATATATCGAAAAAATACAAATTTTAAAAGTTATAAGAATTTAAATATTGGGTCACGTGGGTCAATTTACAATTTCGTTAAAATGTAATATATATTAGCTATGGTTAGGTAGAGTGGGATATTGGGCCCTTGTTCTTCTTGGCTATGTATTTGAAACCATATACTAATAATTATTACGGATAGTTCATGTTACAATAGTTCAGAATGTGTACAAAACAATCGCTCCTATAACATAGGATTTTTTTTTAAATTTTTGAACTGATTTGCGATTGAGATGATTTACGAATTTTTCGATTAAAATTCGATTATAACATTATATAATATGTATTATGTTTATATATTTTATAATATTATCACGTATTATGTCTTCATGTTATCCCAGTAATAAAAAGTGTACAATATTGTGTGAGTGAATGGAACATTTTTATTTGGATAGTTTAATAACTTGTTCCGATAATATTATTAAAGTAAATAAAAATGTACTTTCCCCTTTTTTGCGCCACTACTCATCGAGTTTACCACGAAAATATTTGTATGCGACGGTTTACTATTAGACAGATACGGACGGAGAGGTAGAGTGGAAAGAAACTAAGAAATAAACGTGTATTATGTAGGTAGCGGAAATAAAACAAGTTGGGAAGTATTCGTTTCATCAATCTGTTGCAAAACCTTCATGTGCGCTTCATGGTGATTGCAGTACACTAGAGTTGCCCACTGTGATGATAATTTTTCGTAAAATTTAATTTTTTTTTTTTCCGAGTACAGTTTAATGTCGGATGGGATAGTGATGGAAAAATCCAGATTTACTGAAGTTCGAAAATCCGGTTCTTGGTTTCAGTATCCAAAATCCGGATTTTAAATTTTGAAAAACTGCATTTGTATTCTTTTATGTTCGATTTGTAATAAAATGTTGATAATTACACGTGTTTTTTAATACAGACTACAGAATTCCATTATGTTAAATCCGAAATGTGGTTGTTGAAATCCGTAAACACGAAAATGCGAAATCCGGATTTGTCGGATTTTCGGAGAATCCAGATATAATTCCCATCACTAAGGAGCCGAACGGGGGTGCAACACTGTGATACGTGACCACCAGAACAGCCACGGGGGCACCATTCGTGCTGCGGTCGGGTTTATTGTTTTTACTCACTTGCATCCGCTCCACGGTGAGGAACGCGGCCAGATTGGCGGTGAACGTGGCCAACATGAGCACGACGAACACCCAGTACGCGGCGACCAAAACACGTCCGCTGATGGCTTTCGGAGTCTCGCCACCCCCCTGCGGGGTGAACGACGTTAACGCGAACCAGAAACTCTCGACCAGCGTGAAGTTCCTGCGCGTACCACATGGGACGGTGTTTTATTCACAACAAACCGAAAAAATCATCGCTCATTTAAGCACGAGTTCAACATTCGATTTTTTCAACAAAAAAAAACTTGTTTTCGAATATTTATTGTGCTTCGTTCGCCCCGGCAGTTAAAAAAAAAATCATCCCTTTATTTAAACACACGTGTACCGATGTACCGGGTGACATTTCATGCGACAGCGGTTTTCCCGTTCATAATAAAGGAAAATACAAAAAAAACGTGTTACAACATTGGCAAGTTCTATACAACGCGCAATATAAAATTATTTTCAAGATTTAAATGTATAAATACTATATTAGGGGTGGTGATGGGGAGGATCAAATTTTAAAATCTTACTAGAACCCCTATTTTTCTCGCACTTCTTCGACCACTGTCATATGAAGTTTTGAGCAGCTGTTATATCAGCACTGTCAGCACTGCCGGTGCGACATTTTAATATGTTATTAAAATGATGTTCGTTGTACCTGAATTGCTCGTATTTCGGCTGGTTGTTCTGCGCACTGTACGGCGAGTACTTGTCCAGTATCCAGATCATGAACGCGGTCACGGTTAAGGCGGCTACTATGCTAAGCCACACCTCCGGCTTAAGTACGGTCATGAATTTGAATAGGGAGGTTTTCCTCGACGGTTTTCTGATCACTGCGCAAACGATATACCATTAGACTATCGGCGGTGCGTCGTAACAAAATGTATTATTTCAACAGGACGCCGTGCGTTGTCTACATCTTACAAACGTTTAATACAGCAGATTTGCGTTCAGTAGAAGTATTTTATTGTTCCTATTAATATATTTAAATGTGTTATAAGTTCAAATAAAAATTTTACAATATACATTGTTGTATTAGTTGAGCTTAATTGTAATTAATTAGGTACAGTAGATTCAGATAATATATTGAGAACATAATAATAAATAATAATTGCTATATACTACGCTATTAAATTATAACACTATAGTGTGTATTTAATGAGTATTGTCTGGCCAATAATAATTATGGAATATTTTTATTTGCTGTAGGTGATATTAAGATCGAGGATAGAAGGAAGATAATATTGGAAAAGCTATTAGAAAGTATACATTTAATAGTCTTTATTCAATATGTAAAAAATTCTTAAAAATAATACTTATAGACACAATTTGAATAATATAACTAAACATGTATTGCAGTGAAACAACTTTTAAAATAAAAGTAATTGATTATAAAGTTAATAAATAAATAATATTAATAAAATTTTCTTTCATTTTTAATTTACATTGGTTTTTAACTTTCAAGTTCAATTTTTCGAATTTTTTGAACAAATATATTCGTATTTATTTATCTAGATGAATTACGCTAGATAACTCAAGAATTAATTTAAGATAATTCATCAGATAATTAATTTTGCTTATTATATAGATAAGATAAATGATAATTATTTATCTTGGTAATTTATTTAGATAATGTTCAATGCTAGTGTCAGGGTGGGTGGTGGGTACTTTTATAATATTTACAATGGAGCGTTTTTTCTGAAGTAAGGCACGATTATTAATATCATTAAAATTAAATCATATTTTAATTTTTATATTGACACTTATCAATATTGGTGTACTGTCAATCAATTTAAAAACTTAAAATAGTTTAAAAAATCTTTTTAAAAATACATGCCGAGTTTTTTTTATTGATTTTCCCGCCAATAAGTGACAAAAACAATAGTGACACAGGACATTTTTTGTTCTTATAAAACGATAACTTTTAACTCGTTTTTTTCCTTCGATAAAATTTTACGTTTACGAATAAAGTTTACTTAGTTCACGTTTACTTATATTATTACCATTCGAACACTGTTAACATAATATTATACATTAAGTACTCGTTAAAAAGAAAATGGATGAGTTTCGGTTCGACAAAATTGTATAAAGAAAATACAGTTTACATTAAATTACGATTATTATCTTTCGAATAATTTACTGCTAACGTAATGTTATATGTATAATTATTAAAAGAAAAATTATCGAGTTTCGATTAAATAAAAATGTATAAAGAAAATACAGTAGTTTTTAAAATATAACTGTATATATATATATATATATATATATATATATATATATAAATATATAAACAGAACGTAGATTCATTATTACTACTGAAGATATTGCGGGATATATATACATTTCTCAATTGTATGCTTAGGTATCCCTCGCAATCTGCATGGTATTTCATTGTTCTCATTATACTAAATTTAGATTGCTGGGTAGTCTCAGGAAGGTATACGGTCTCGAGAGAAATTGTTGCTTGTCCTGGAATAGAATCTCCTTTCTCGATTCGCCTATTGTTTGCCATTTTTATATCAAACAAAAAATGTATACACTGATTGAAACACGATTTTTTTCCACCTATAAAGGTACCTGCACCGTGTACTTGGTATATGTATACGATAGTAGCTCGGATAGCAAGGAAATCGGTCGAATTATAATATGCAGCAGAGGTTCTAAATATTTGAACTAACAATCGTTTAGTTTTTAACATACTCGTGATTTTTTTATGGTATTATTATCTCCATATATCTCTTTCTACGTTTCACGCATAGTAATAGAAGTACAATAGGGATCTCTGATCGCAGGATTATTTTATGATGATGTTGAAGATCGTCTATTGAATCTATCAAACAACGATTGTATATTATTAAGACGAAATTACAAAAGAAAAAAAAATATTTTTATAATAATTTAATATTGTATTAATATACAAATATATATATATATATATATATTTATATTATTTATATTTATTATTTTTATAATAATTTATCAATGTATTAATTATAACTATGTCTGACGAATCAAATGTATGTATATATTGCGACGCAATAATTACGTAAGACAGTACACTCCGTACTGAGTTATGAAAGAAAAATCGAATACTGTCTAAAATGCAAAAACGTTTTCAGTGTAATATTTTAGATGTGTGGTTTTACTTTGCACCGATCGTAATTTGAAAAACGAATCGCCTCCGAATATAAGGCAATCATCGAATAAGAACATTTTTTAAGAGGTCGCCATTGTGCTCGATAATGGAAATTATTCGGAATCGCGCGTGCTGACTAGACCGCGAAAGAATTATGACGCGTTCGTCGCATATTAAGTAACACATTATTGCCAGTGAATCGTCGTTGGGTTGTGGACCCTCGAGGATGGCTGCTCCCGTGAGAACACCAGAAAATGACAACGGTAGGGACTATGCGTGTAAAAATACTTGTGTAACCACTGCACTTTCACGCATTATAATGTCATTGCACGTAGGGGTTTATTTTTTAATGATTGCGAAAGATAAAATAGAAATTCGACAAAATTAAAAAAAAACACGTTCTCTTCTATTAAATTATCGAGGGGCCATATAATTTTATGATAGTTAACATTTTTTTTCACGTGCGAGCGTATCAGCTGCAAAATAAAATTTAAGTTTTTTTTATTATCCAACACTACTGTTTTAAATGGATCCTGGTAATGTTTATTTTACTGATAATTTTGATGGTAGAATTATAATTTCGGCTCATAACTATCCTAAAGTTTAGTTAATTAATTAATAGTTTTTTATTTAAATTAACTTCATCGTATAACCTTTAAAAAAAGATGATTTCTTTTTTGTCCATCAATTTAAATAATTATATACTTTATCATATCGATTGACTATATATATATATATTTTTTTAGATTAATTGAAGTCTGTACTAAAGGACCAAATAAAAATGTGGACGTACGAGTATATTAATAAAAATATTTGTATAGGCTAAAAAAAGTTTGATTTTGTTTTGTTAAAAAGTATACGATTATTCAAATAGGTCGGGGAAATATAAAAAATTAGTTCTCGTAAAGTAGATTTATTCCAGTTGATTTGGTCAAAACCATATACATTAATTTACTAAACTTTAGAGGAACGTAGTCAACGAAATTGTGAGCCAAAGTTGATGATTCAACCTCTACAATTATTCGAAAATAAGCACAACTAGAGTACATTAAAAATAATAATAATAGTGGATATTTAAAAAACTGAAGTTAATTTTTTAGATGGTACCGCCTGTGTTTGTATAAATAATTAACATTTTTTTAAAAAAAGACACCTTTAAAATAATGAAACATATGTTTAATAGTTTTTTCGAAATTATTTTTTTCGTTTCGTAATCTGCAACAAATACCTCACAATGACATAATATACATCCTATATGTGCGAGTAGGTTTTTATTTATTATGTTAATATGAGCGTAGTATTTATTATTTCATTTATCCAACAGCTACTACGGCAAAATATACTAAGGTAATTTAAGTATACACAACGTTACCGGAGTTAAATAGATTTTCATATAATATTGTGACGTTAGATTAGTGAGTGGGTGGTGTTTTAATAATATTTCTTCTACTATCCTCTACCCCGTTTATTTCCTCATTCGTTCTACGTACGCGATGCAGTGGCGTAACAAAAAAATGTGGGCCCTCGTAAAAATAAAAAATGGGCCTCTACATTTTGTGTAGGTAGGTGGTATATTAGTTTAAAAACATTAATCTGATATAGGTAAATCACTTATTTTAATTACAATTTTGTTATATGATGAAAAATAACAATATTTATTTAATATTATCATTGATTATGTATACTATAGATTGCTCACTGGCCAGTTTTCGATGACATAAAAAAAAATTCTTATAGAGGGCGATTCAAAACTAATAATAATAAAATTTAATTTAATTTTGGCCTTTGTGTCGTAATGGTAGAGACGGGTATGTATCGATCAGTATATTATGCGGTTACCGTGCAAGAAAAATTATCATATTTTGTTTAATTCGTTTGGATTTTGTTCGGTGGTTTAACATAGAAGTTCGAGTATACAAAAATATACTAGACAGTTGGAAAAATTCACGTTATATTTTTTATTTTGAGAAAATTATTAATTATAATATAATTTTGAATCTCATAAGGATATTTTAGTGTCCTTAAGACATATGTACTCCATGACATTCTTCAAATGTTGTAATTGTTTGGACGAAATTAGATATTCAGACACCATGTACTTTCTATATTCAAAACGCATTCGGCAAATTTTTGCAAAGTTTACAGATCAGTGAAACAAAAACGACGTTTATTATGTTACATGACCGTTACTGTATAATAATTCAACCCGTTCGTATTTGAGTTCCAGGTTTTTTATTCGATCAATTTAAATCCGTAAGGAAACGTACATTTCAAAGAACAGCCTTGAACGACATTAAAAAACGAAGAAGAATAAGAAAAAGTTAAGTCACTTGGTGCCGTTTAATCGAATGTTTTCGGTATAAATAGCAATAGGATTTTTCGTTATATAAGTCAAAAATGTCCGTCAGTGACATCAAAAATAGTTTCACTGTAACACCTGCCACAAACATACTATCTACGTTGGTATGAATAATATGTATATGTATTTAAATTAATAGAAAAAGAGAAAGGCAGAGACGCACGCAAAGAAAAATAAAAGCACACGAAAATAAAATTGTTTTTATTACCTCAACCTTACAGTTTTTTTTTTTTGTACGGCGATGACACATCAAAGATCAACATTCTTTAAATGTGCGGTTAAAAGTTACCTTTTAGCTTTTACACACGTTTTGGGTTTTTATATATTTCATTCGTCGT